TTATGGGAGGCGCAACCAGAAGACACAGCACCCTGCCCCGAGTGCAACCCATACCCCTTTTTCGCTCCCTCTATTCGTACAGCACGCAACACGCTGACCTCGTTTAATTGTTACAGGACAACACCACTATGTACTCTACTACATATAGCTCGCTATCCTATAGTTGACCCCATTGCATGTATTCACTGCGCTCTCGTAGATCCCACCGGAAATGTGCGCTGCGGGCGCCCGCCCGCTCTAGGGGCGGGGGAGTTCTGACGGATGGCGGGGATACCGCCAGACGTACACCTGACCGGCGCAAGAGGCGAGACCCAGGGGCGCAACCGCACCCAAAGGCCGCAGGTTTATAGCCCGTTCCCTTGCCTTGAATGGCCGGGACTGGGCGGACGTCCGCAACGCACCTTTCCTGAGCCCTGCCCCCTTCCACACCATTTACGTACTCGAACGTCTCACTCTCGCCCCTGTCTGTACCCTGGCACATCCCCTTGCACCATCCCTCATCGACATCTCTCCCACCACACACCCTTAGATTGCATGAGCATCCTGCTCAACAATGTCCCGCCGACCTCCATCATCATCCAAGTAGACAACAATTATTTACTGCCTACCATGAGGCTCGGCCTCGCAGGGCAATAAACGGGATCTAGAAGAAGAAGAAACACAATCACGGACCAGGATGTACGACGCGCGACCTTGCTCGCCTATTTTTTGTACAGATGTACCGTCATAGGCGATACAGTGACTTGAAAGAAAGATCGCGTACTGGTGTCGAATTCCAAGGGAGCAAGGGCTTGTTTGTCCCCGTTTGGGAATCCCAAGGCATCAACACTATTGGCTGATTGATCAACTTGACATGAGCGGACCCGTTGAGCATGAGGCCTACGCTGTGCAGTACTCCTGGAGCAGGAAAGTCAGTGCCCACTAGGGAGCGGCCTAGAGTCGCCGAACGCAATGCTCGCGCGCCGTGCCCGACATCGGGTCGTAGCCTCAGCCACCACCCTCGGATACGAGCAAAATAGCTCCCGGGGCGAACGTAGCTGCGAAGAACTGTCGTAAACCACTCGAATTCAAGACCACCCACATATTCGCCGCTTCTCGCTTTCTGCCAAGCCCATGCTACCGCCTGGCGGTATCGCAACATATCCGACGCCGGCGAACCCCTGCCCGTGCGATTCTGACGCTGATCAGCAACACGAGGCACCATCCGTCCTGGAAAGAGTCACGCTCACCTATGCTAGACACGCAACGACTGCGGCCTTGCTGAAGATCCCCCTTCGTTGGTGACATACAGAGGTCGAACAACGCAGCCTGGAGTCTTGGCTAGGCTGTAGGTACTCTTGATCCTCCAGGCTTGTGTTCTACTCTGATTGCTGCGCGCCAGACCGGAAGATATACGTTTCCTCTTGGCACGAGGGATGAACTTGCAGATCCACTGACTGATTTGGCCTGCTTCGTCTGCATATCGGTGTCCCTACATATCCAGTCTTCTTGGTCTTCCCACACCAATGGTGAATCGTCGGTACGCAGGCACACGCTCTCCAGGAATTGCGCAGGAACTGCTACGCACATCATGACGCTCCGGCACGAACGCCAGGACAAGCGCTCGCCTGTCCGACTGTGGTGGAACGTCGACTTCCCCCGAATTCGACTCCTGACGCTCACCCACTCGGTCCTCAGACACGCACCCACGCCGATAAAAAGGACGCGAGGTGGAGGATGACTTCCCTGCCTGCGCTTCGCCTCGTGCTTCGCTTCCTCCGACCAAGCGGTATTCGAGACCGCGCGGTTCTTATACCATCTCGCCCTTTGTCCCTCCTCCCGCGCAAGGCCCCTGCCGTTGGACGATGTCTGCTCCGCATACGACTGTTCCAGTGTCCGCCGTAGTCCCCCGCGCTCCTGCGCTTGCGAGATGGGAGAAGACGAAGAACCGGAGAGTCAGTTGGCTCGTGGAGTGTGTCGCTGAAGCCGTACGTCTCTCGATCTGCTTCGATGTCGTACATTCTTCATGCTTTAATGCTCACGCGACGGACGTCACATAGACCGGCACCTTCTTGTACACCTTCGCTGGAGCGGGCTCGACGGCGTCTTTCGTCCTGGGAAACATCCTCAAAATCGACGGCCTCGGCAGTGCGTAACCTTCCATTCATGTTGCCGATGTCGCGACATACGAGGGGAACGTGATGTGCAGGTCTCCTTCAAGTCGGTCTCGCCTACTCCGTTGGCATTGCTCTGGCTCTCGCAATCTGCGTCGTACGTCCCCGCGCATATATTCGCACGCTAACAATAGAATTCTGAGGCTTCGCACAGACGACATCGGGCGGTCATTTCAACCCGGGCTTCACGGTCCATGCCGTCGTCTTCCAGGGCTTTCCCATTCGAAAGGCCCTCAGGCAAGTGACTGAATACATCGATGTCACTTGTCCGCGGATGACAGTACTGATTCAATGACTGATGTAGGCTCATAGTCGCCCAGATATTTGGCGCGTATATCGCCTGCCTATTGGTGTATGTCCAGTACAAGCAGCTCATTCACGTGAGTCCTTTGTGGATCATTGATTTCGTTTCAGATATTGACATATCTATGGATTGAAGACCGCCGTTGATGCTCTGAAGGGGGCCGGTCTATACGAGAGTCTGATGTTCACCCCGAACGGTCCTGGCGGCATTTTCGGTCTCTACGTAAACCCTGGATCGAACCTCGGCTACGTCGTCCTCAACGAGTTCGTTTGCGATTTCATCATCGGGATTTGCGTATTCGGGGTCCTCGATCCGTCGAACCACCTCGCGAGCCCGACGACGCTGCCGTGGCTGATCGGCCTAGCATAGTGAGTAATCCCATCCGAATTTATCTGTCGAACGTACGTCGGCCTGACGACGCTCTGTCTAGTGGCGTCGTCATCTGGGGCTTCTCTCCGGTCGGCGTCGCTGCGAACGCGGCGCGCGACCTGGGCGGTCGCTTCGCCGCCCTCACGCTGTTCGGGACCGCTGCGAGCGGCGGCAAGTACGCGGCCCTTGCTGCGCTCACGAACATCCCGGCGATACTGCTCGCGGGGCTCTTCTACGAGGTCGTCTTCGCGGACTCCACACGAGGTGCGCGCCTAGCCTAGTCTGCCAATCGCCCAAGATCTCGCTGATTGGTTCGTTTCCGGAAAGCCATCAACCCTGATTGGCACCAGATCATTGCAGCCATGCAGGCCAACGCTGTTAGGAAGGCGGGCGGCGAGTCGGGGTCGCCCTCGCCCCCTGCCTCGATTCTGTCTGACGAGAAATTGACCGCGTAAACGAATTTGATGACCATAAGGACTGCGTAGACGAACTTGATGACCATAGAGACTGCGTAGATCGACATCCCCTCCGCTCGTAATGTCGCATACTGCTCCCGTCGTCCTTTAGGACAATTACATACTTCGTTCTGGGCCGATACGTAGACTCCGCGTCTCGATCGACTCCTTTAACCTCAGGCACAACAAGTGTCCAGGGATCCCCAATGTCTCAAGATGTGCCTTAGTTCTGTTTACAGCGGGCGCCGGTAGCTATGGTGTGGCCTTTAGAAAAGCTGGCCTTGGCCGTGGAGCACAAGATGCGTTCTTGGCGAATTCATCCTGTGATCCACGACGAGGGTCGATCGAGATGAGGCGTGTCATTTCGTGTCCAGTTAGGCTCCGTTAAACTGCGGATCGGACACCCGCAAGTACAGTTCTTCCGTTCACTTCAGCTGGTCGTCTCCCTTCATCCCAACGGTCTTGAGATCCGTGTATACGTTTGAGCCGGGATCTGGACTTCCCCAAAGTGCGGATGAGTGCGGGGCCCCACATCTACCCCGCTCGCGCTAAGCTTTGATCAACCTGTCTCATACATATCAGTCGCCCCCGAACGCGGGAACGCATGCCCGGATTGGGCAAGAATTTGCTCGTCCCTCGGGTGTGACTTTTGCTTCCTCTTGCTCATTGCCCGTACACACGGCGAGCTTGCTACCTAAACGACAAAAGAATGCGTTGCTGGCAGAGTCGACCAGACGGGCAGGGGTTGTGTCATGATCGCCCGCTTCACGCAGCCCGCTAGCACCGTATATCCGGCGTACTACGGGGTGGTCAGGCGAGCCTCCCTCGCCCAATCCGTCGGGTCAGGTGTCCACACAGGTACCAATGAACACCATGCCTAAGTGGCAGCCACAGGGGCGCGCCCCAGCCTCCAGAGATCACCGCGTAAGCCCTCGCACGAGAATGGGCGCCGGGCGCACCCGCATGATGGGGATAAATGATACGTCTCCGCGGACTCGACAAAGCCGGAATCTCGCCTCCCCCCGCACCCCCAGAGTTCTTCCCCCGACGCGCCACTGATCAACCCTCGCAAGAGCTCTCAAGACAAAAGCGGAACGACGAATCGACATGGCCGTTGCTGGGATGCACGTTTTGCGCCGTCGCGATGTTATCCACCTCGCGGACATCCAGCCCCGCTCGAATGCGCACGTCGCGTGGGAGCGCATTAGGCATCGTCAGGCGCATTGGTTCGTCGAGTTGGTCGCAGAGTTTGTGAGTGTCTTGGGTTTTAGAGCCACTCCTAATCCGATGTACTCCGGCTGACGGGACGCGACAACGTAGATGGGCGTGTTCTTTTACACATTCGCTGGTGCGTCGCAGAGAGCTAGATGGCTCCATGGTAGTTCTGACAACTGTTCTGTTCAACAGGTGTTGGCTCCACGGTTGTCTTCCTGGTGGGAAACGTCGCAGGCGAGAACGGTCTTTCGTCTATGTTCCAAATCGGTTGCGCGTACTCGCTCGGTATCTTGCTCGCCCTTGTGGTAAGTGCGGTCGCGCTCGCTGCGTATCGACCCCAATCCAATCCTTGACATCCTAGGTGTGCGCGCCCACTTCAGGGGGCCACTTCAATCCCGCAGTGACCTTGTCCTTCGTCCTCTTCAGAGGGTTCCCCCCTCTCAAGGCGCTCCGGTGAGTTGTGGGTCCATATGTACATGGGGGCAGACGCGATCGCGCGCCCCCAGTACTGTCGGAACCGACACGGAAATTCAAGCTGCCTGCTAACACACCATCTCTCCCGATGATCCAGATACATCGTTGCGCAGATCTTGGGTGCATACATCGCCTGTCTGCTGGTCTACGTCCAATATGGGGATTTCATCCATGTGCGTCGGAGTCTCTTCGGGTTGCTCTCCTCGATGACATTGAACTAACTGGGCTACACATATACTTGACAACACCGCATTGTCCACATCGAACCCGCTGGATATGCCTTCTCCCTACCTCAGGAGGTCACTGAAGCTCTGAGGGCTGCCGGCAAGCTCGACGCCGTTCTGTTCACTCCTAACGGGCCCGCTGGTGCTTTTGCGCTCTATGTGTCTCCAGGCTCCAACCTCGGTCGCGTCTTCCTCAACGAGTTTGTTGTGGTACGTACAGTAGAGGATTACATACGCACTCGATTGTTTACTCACCGTTCACACTTCCTACAGGACTTCCTAATCGGCCTCGTCATCTGGGCCTGCCTCGACCCTACCAACTTCTCTGCGTCGCCTACGACCGCACCGCTGATTATCGCCTTCACATAGTACGTCGTTTGCAGATCAGGGATTGCTTGAGCCTAGCTGACTAGCGACCTATAGCGGCGTTATGGTCTGGGGTTACGCGACAGAGGGAAGTACGTACCTCCGTATCATTGTCGGGTCCCAACCTAGTTTAACTGACGCACTCTTCATCCAGTCGCGACGAACGCCGCTCGTGATGTTGGAGCGCGCCTGATGGCACTCACCATCTGGGGCCTTGATGCCGGCGGAGGTCGATACGCCGCGATCGCTGCCTTGACGAACATCCCGGCCACCATCCTGGCTGGCTACTTCTACACGTTCATCCTCGGGGACTCCAGCCGTGGTGCGTATCTAATCCCGACAGCAGTTGCCCCATCCTCGTCCTCTCCACTCCACCGCTGCATTCGTTTGGGAACAGAACTGATACGAACTTACTAGTGGTCACACCTGCGCATGTCGACTACCTTGGCGGCCACCTCGCTCATGAGGAGCACAGCCAGGGCGTCGTCGCCCGCGAGTCGTCGAACCCTTCTTACAACGAGAAGTCGAATGAGGAGGCCATCGAGCGCGTCTGAATCCCCTTCTCCAGGGCACCTAACGGACATGCGAGTAACACGGTTGGATGCGAGTGACCTTGGGGTGCTGTCGGTTTCAATGTTTCAGCCATATACGTGTACTATACTAAACCAATGTACTGACCTGTTCACGCCTTTGTACTTCGAACACTAACAACCACGAATTGAGACGTATCGTCAGCCTGGAGGATGCGAGGAACGTTATATCGCGTCGGCCCGTCTGTGCTTATATGGAGGCGAGAAAGAGGCTCCGGCTATCTCAGTAGCCGGTAGCCGGGGCGTCGGTCGGCCGTTGTAAGCAATCCCGATGCCCGACGACTCTCTCGTAAACTGCAGCCGGGCTTGCTTATCGATAGGCCCCTCCGAAAAAAAACATGCTCAGGTCGGTTGGCACTGCGAAACATACTATCGCGACCCCAGTGTTCGGACGACAAGGCGCCCACCGCATGATTCATTTGATCTATGTACCTTCCTATCCTCCGATAACATTCATTTTTTGCATGCAAGCAGTCGCATATAAAATTATGCTGCATGCCAAAGATGAGATATATTGGAGAAGAAATGAGTGTTAGAGAGGGGGGTATACAGGGCTGACCCCATTGTTCGGACGATTCTCCGCGCAGAAGGTCACGATTCGTCACGCTTGCCGAGCCCTGCCGGCCTTCGGGAATGTCCGTCATCCAACTTGATGAGCCTTAGCCGAGCAGCCTAACCAGGTCGGAGAGTGAAAATGTGGCTGCACTGTCACACCCTCGAGGGCCAAGTCTTGTTTCTCCCATTTGTGCACCAGTGAAGGCTTCGGAGAATTGAGTCCTGGGTATCATGGGTGTGTATGAGTACGTCTGAGAAACATGAAAGGAAGCGCCCGAGGAGGAGCTCGGAGCGAGACTCATCAAGTTTGAATAGGGATGAGTTGCACCACTTCCTCCTGCAAGATCGCCGCAGTGACTCTGTGAATAAATTTGGTTCTTTTTTCTGCTTGTTTGGAATGAACTCGTGCACCTATTTGCCAGCTTGCAGCTTTATCGGGTGGAAAATGAGGGAGACATGGTCCTTTGTCCGAACACTAGGGTCTGTCCGAACACTGGGGTCGCAATAGTATGCGGGCCCAATCAGACAGATGCTTCGAGAGTCGAGACCCCACTGAGCGCGCCGCCGAGCACGGAGTTCAAGGCGTCTCACATCTCACAGGCGCCTTCCTGAGTGGCGGGCGGGCCGGAAGCGCATCTTTGTCAGCTCCGAGTCGTTCGCCGACTTGAGCTGGTCTCGTACCCAGACGTATGGGTGTTACACCCGCACCCCACCACCGCGGTCACCCAGACGTCTGGGGCAGTTTGATAGAGAGGTCCTACCTCCCCCCTATTTCAAATTCCCGAGCCCGCGTAGATGAGATAGCTTGCACGCTTACATGTCCAGGCTCCGATTAGCGCCCGTGAGGATTGACCGCGACCGTGTTGTCCAGAAGAAATCACATTGAATGGCAGGGGCACCAACTAATGGAAGGGATGAGCTCTCAATATTGAATTATGTATGAGCAGAAAAGGAGCTCTCTGGACAAACACAGTATTTTCTCGCCTGCAGCTATCAGCTTATAGTCACAAATTCCTGTGGTGCCAAGCAGATTGCCCTGTCACAGGCGCAAAACCCAATGCAAAGCTATCCCTTGGGGGCAATTCACTCACGAGTTCTATCCTCAACACATCTACTGCAATTCATGTCAAAGTGAGGGGTTCTACTACCAGTTCTACAGCTTGCAAGGCGACCGGACTGCTCATCACAGCG